GAGAATAAAAGTAAATTGTAAACATGTATGTTTCCGTTTACATCTCGCATGGGCTGCATCGCACAACTGCGATTCATAAAAAAATATGCGTAGCAAATGGCTGAAAATACATCGCGAATTGCGATGCGATACCGGGAAAATTATTCCCTGCACACACACACACACGCACACACACACACACACACACACACGCACACACACTACCTTCTCTCCATCTATCCCCGCAGGTGACGCCTCCCTTCAAGCCGCAGGTGACCTCGGAGACGGACACGCGTTACTTCGACGCTGAGTTCACCGGCGACTCGGTCGACCTGACGCCGCCGCGTCACACCGGCGGACCGCTGAACGCCATTGTCGAGGAGAGCACCGACGCCCCCTACTTCCAGCAGTTCTCTTACCACGGCGACCGCGGCACGCTCGGAATGTGAGCGTCGCCCCGGCAACGACGACGGCGGGGGGGGAAGGAGGGGGTCGTAAAGGTAGCGCGCGATCGGTCGGACGCGCGGCGAGGGCACGGGGATTTTTTCGTTGGGGGGGACGGGGTGGGGGCTGTTTGCGAATCTTTGGCGTGCGGTTTCTTCGTTTTCTTTTTGTTTTTTGTTTTTTCATAAAAAAAATTGGGATGGTTGGCAACCTCTGGGTGGCAGCGTCGTCATGACGAGGTGTGCGTTTGTCGTCGAGTCAGCGCAGGGCTCCGCGGCGCGGCCCCACAGCAGTCGGATCGAATCATGTTATACGAACGACGATACGAAACAAATGAGGCCGTTTTTCCTGCTGCTGTACGTCATGGAATATGTATGTGCAGATGAAAACAAGTGGGCACATCGTTGACCATTACCGGTGATAGCTGTAGCTGCTGCTCTTTAATGAAAGCATCGTAGGACTAGATTTCTAGTTTGGGTAGTAGGACTAGTTTGGGTAGGTGCAGGCCGTCAAGTTAACGCTCCCGCAATTCGCTAGCAAGCTTTCTCTATTATCAACGCATTCGATTTCAAAAATATTAGATGTAGCAAATGTAAGGATTTTTGCAGTCTGTCAGAGTTCCGTGTCCTAAGTTGTCCAGGATCATCTACTGTGTAAAGTTATTTGCCATGACTTTAATTCGGCTAAGTCACGAGGTGCTTATTTTCGTCAGACAACACGTAACAAACCTGTCTTAACGTGAAAACAGCATACAAACGCACCTCTATGCGAATAATCTCTGTTCGAATAATATTAATTTTCAAGAACTGCAGTGAACGTAGAGGCCAGGAATCGCAGGCCTACCAGAGTCGTGCGATGTTTGTGTTTGACATTGTGTTCTGAGTGGCGGCGAATTTTCCTATTTCGCTGGCGTTTTCCTCATCCGGATTTTCTCTCGCGCTACTTGACGTCCTGTCGTAGGGTACTAATCCATCCCCATGTGCACGGCTGGGTCACGCGGCCACGTCTAGCATTTAGTCAATATATACCTCCTGAACGTTTAGCTTCAGTTTTCGCATTGAGAGAAAAAGTGCAAATCGCGCAGTCGTGGTTGGTCGCTTGCTCGCCATTTTGCTGGTTAATCGTGTCGAGTGCCGTTTTCGCGGGAGGCGGCAGCCGAGAGATAAGCTTAACCAAAAGGGGGACGTTGATGATATTGATAATATTGCACCTTAACTGTTACTCTCGTGTCGTTGTCGTGTCTGTAATTTAGTCGGGAAGTCGTTTACAGGGTTTAAGTGCCTGTCGAGGGGGGCGCACGTTGCCTCACGCCATCGACGAAATCAAAATATAGGTAGGAGTGCATGAGAGGAGTGCGTGTGTGCGTGTGTGTAGGGAAAAAGAGCTGCATTTGAACCCGTTGGTAGGTCAAGCTCTGTTATCATGTACAAAATTTTGGGTTTTCGGTTCGTGACATAGGGCATCGTCATAGTTGCCTGTTGCCTGGCTGCAAGTAACTGCGGTTTCTGGTTTGTAGCACAATGACAGGGGCTATACTCTTTAGTCTGTAACACGTTTGCAGGGAGTATGATCTGCGGTTTGTAGAACGTTGGCAGGGATAGGACTACGGTCTTCGGTTTGGAGCACGTTGACAAGGACTACGGTTTTCGGTTTGTAGCACATTGACAGGGACTATGATCTTTAGTGTGTAGCATGTTGGCAGGGAGTATGGCATTTGGTTCGTAGCACGTTTGCAAGGACTACGGTCTTAGGTTTGTAGCGCATTGCCAGAGATTATGATCTTTGGTCTGTAGCACGTTTGCAGGGAGTATGGCGTTTGGTTTGTAGCACGTTTGCAGGGACAATGGTCTTTGGTTTGTAGCACGTTGACGCGGATAAATAATTCCACATACTTGCGCTGAGCCAAATATCCGGAGATAACTGCAGGTGTTTGCTGGATCTATGTGGTATGGTTTCCCTAAATTTATCACGAAATTGATCGGAAGCCTGCCACGTGCTGATAGACTCGAATATCTTAAACGTGAGAGCTACGGAGCTTTTTCCAAGATTGGAAATGAAAGCATGCATTTTCACAAGATGAAGGGAACCCGGCGAATGTTGCATTTCGTTGCTGCGTGCGTAGGTTGAGTTGTAAGGCGAAGATTAAAGCTAAAAGGCAATCCTAGGGTGAAAGTGAAATACATGCAGACACGTTCCTTTACAGTAGTGCAAGAGGTAGGCAGTAGCAAGCTCTCCTTTCGACACCATGCTCCTCACATCACTGAGCTATGTTAATCCACTAGTTTTTCAGCATTCCGGAAAGAAACGTGTAGCATTCATACATTTTTTAATCACGATATTTCGTATTACAAACTCAGCCCCTCACGTACCAGAATAGGTGACTCGCATCTTTCTGAATGGGTTGGAATTGATAGAGTGGTAATTATGGGTAAGCTTTGCTGTAGGTCCGTGCTGGTGTTGGCTCCGTGTGCATTCGTACTTCGTGTATTCAATGGCCACATAGCAGCAAGGTTGTTATTTACGTACGACATCTCACCGTGCAGAGCAACCGAGGGGGATGCATAACCACGATGTGCTATTACTATAGATAATAGTGTGTCGTGGTCATGCACTTATCTGTGCAGCACGTGAGGCGCGAAAGAAGTGTGTGAGGATTGAGTAAAGTGAGTGTGCTGTGGCGTTCACTCGCAGGGGGTAACCTGGCACGTCGCCAACACTGCGAACGTTCTTTTGTTCGAGCTGTTTTACCGTCTCGGCACGTTGCGTATGCGACGGGGGTAATCACCAAGCGCAGTTTAACATGTTGTTGCTCACCTCGGTCAGTCGGGTTTCTCCCACAGAGTCGGTGTGCCCGTCATCTTGCTTGTACGTCTATGGGAAGTCACGCGAGATGTACCAATCTAGATGAGAGTACTTTCATCTACTGCTGATGTCTCGCAGCATTCACACGTGAGCTGTGAGTGAGAGGGTCAGCACATCGTACGTAAACGCGTGGTGGACGCGCTGAGTGCGTCACAGTTAGACGAGTCGCTGTCGATCGATGACTCTCTGACCCTCGCGATGTCGGGAGAGAAAACCGGGATTTAATTACCGGAATGCGAATGTATGTTTGTTTTTTCGAGGTCGAGTTGTTGCCATTTTGTGATCGTGTTATCAAAATCTTTTTTTTCTCAATTTATGGAATAGTTGCTGATCATCAATATCAGCGCCGAGTCTTTGGTCGTGCGCGTATTATTTGTATTGGCCTCGTTGCTTGGCCGATTGACTTAGCAGAATCTATCGGTCAAGCTATACACTGGGTGTTTGTAGTGGAAATAAAGGTGTCTAAGTGAGCGATGGTCCAAGGGCAGAAAGATGGATTTCAGCATCCAACACCATGCGATTGCTTTCGGTCAGGGTATTTTTTCTCGTATACATTTTCAATTCCGTGTCGACACTGTAAGTGGATCCTCGAAAACCGGCGTCACCGAGAATGTTTTGTGACGCTGACTGGCTAGCAGTAAGCCTGCACAGTTACTTGAGAGAATACAGAGGGACTGACTTGCACAGTATAGGGGAAGTCACTTCCCATTGCTGATAGCTGTAATGATTATACCGGGAGTACTTAATGAAGATATGTCGATATGCATATTAATCAAATGCCAAAATGACCCTGAGCTGACGTTGCATGTTTTAGTGAAATAGCACGCCTTTTTTCCGTGACGCGTATATACACTCATTCAATCACGTGGTTATTACTCTTTCAGATTTAATATAATAGTAATTATATTATATATTGTGCATATTTTTTCATTTCCACGTCATCTGTTAACGTTGCAGGCATCCAAGCCAGAGCACGCGGCATTGATACAGTACTCCCTGTCAATTATGTATAACCGACTTAATCCTTCCCGATAATAAAAATAATAATGACGGTAATGGTAATAATTATAATAATATAATAGTAATTATATCTAGTAATCAGCATATTTTTTCATTTCCACGTCATCTGTTAACGTTGCAGGCATCCAAGCCAGAGCACGCGGCAGTGATACTGTGGGACACGTCGTCATGGCGACAGATGTGTCAGCTTCGGTCGCACCAGCTCACAGTGACGCAGCTTGCTTTCTCACCAGATGACAGGTATCTTCTGAGTGTTTCACGTGACAGGACCTGGTCACTGTTCAAGAGAACACAGTCAGAGCAAGGTAGTTCATGAGTGCATTGCTAGCCTGAGATAACATTCTCCTTAATAGTATATCCTGTTCGATTTTCATGTGTAAGTAACTCTTCACACTGGTGGCACCTTAATATATAAACCAAACATTTTTTCTCGGATATACTAGTTGATTTTGTTCACATATATGTGTGTAGTTCCATGTACGTAAGTCAGACGTTTAACAAACATGGCGTCCTGCTTTGTGTAGGGTTGCAGTTTGAAAGAGTAGGCTACTCTGACAAGAAAACAGGAATACATTCTAGAATTATCTGGGCTTGTGCATGGTCGCATGATAACAAGCACTTTGCAACTGCTTCCAGAGATAAGAAGGTAGGGTAAACACATAACATTACTTAAACACACTGCTAACATTAACAAATGGCCTGATTTCAGTGAATCATTGGTTTTCCAGGGGCTTAACATTTTAATCGTAGGTTATCTATAAAACTTCAATCTCGTATACAATATGGTACCTAAAAACTAGTTGCGATGGAAGGAGATAATAGCTGTATCGCCATGTATGGGTGTTTCTCTGTCGATTCTGTGCATTAGGCCATTACCTTGCGATGAACCTGTAAGTGCCAGGGGCGTAAATCCGTACCGAGGAGTGGGGGGATGATCACGCGAAGGGGGGGTCTGGGGGGCCCTCCCCCAGAAAATTTTTGAAATTAGACCCCCTCAGATGCGTTTTCTGCGCGAGCAGGGAGGGGGTCCGGACCCCCTGGACCCCTCCCCCCCCTGTACACGCCCCTGCAGTAATTGAAATGATTTAGGTCTGCCCATGTCTCCAAATTATCATAATTAGCTGAACTTTCAAGTGGGGCACGGAGGAAGGAGTTTTTTTTTTGAATCTCAGGGGGGGATATTTGTACAGGCCATCCCCCCTCCTTCAAGAGCGGGGGGGATGCATCCCCCCATCCCCCCCGGGATTTACGCCCATGGTAAGTGCTGTCCTTATCTTGTTTAAATTGTAAACCTTGTGGCATTACCGTGGAATCATGGTTCGCCAGTGTATTTGGCATGAGCAAACTTTTGGGGTGCTGGGTATGGATATTATCAAGAGTACATAATAGAGCACATCTCGATTATCATGTACTCTTGATATTATGCTTGCCATTGGGCAAGTCGCACCTGAATTACGGATCATAAATGCTTGCTATCCCAATTTATGGCTACCATAAAGTCGATCATTACTGTTAGTATAAGCAATACCTGTGTAGATTTGCCACACTCACTAATGTCCGTAGGTTTTTCCCTATGGAAAACGTTTACTGTCAAGTTATTAGTTAGCCATCAATCAGAGCAACATTGTACCTTCTATACCTACACCAGCTTACAGCAGCATGTTATACAGTATAGTCCCATTATAATGTGATGGTTTGGGTCCATAAAATGTCATTGCGAGAAAAGCGGGGTCGCACTAAATCGGGGTTATATATACGTGGCTATATAAGAGCAAAAAAAGCTAGGGGTCCAACGACTCATTGCGTTATATCCGAATTCGCGTCAACTCGGGGTTCCACTGTACTTTGTAGCTTAATATATCAGCATACAAAAGGTTTCGTGGTGTGCATAAAATGCTTCCTTGTCCATCAAAATGTTTAGTCGTGATACACTTCTAGTCACGTGATTACTTCTATACGTTTTTAGACTTGAACTATACATAATGGTAACCTCTTGTGCTGTTGAAACAGGTCGTGATGTGGCAGGTGACACAGGAACAAAGGAAAGACAGTTGTCTTGGTATTGTCCAAGCATGCCCCGACCCCCTGCAACTAGACGATTCCATAACAGCTATTGACATGCCTTTCGTTCTTTGCTCGAGTGGAGAGTAAGTATATTTCTTGCAAAAGCATTGTGGCCCACATTCTAGCCAGTCTACAAGTATAAAAATGTTTAAAAAAATTCCACACATTTCTAGGCAAGCCCCCCCCTGGTGAAGATTTGACAGATTGTAAAACCGATATTGGCAAACGTCTAGAAATACAACGGATGGAATCGTAAATAACTATAACATAAATTAACACAATATAAACTCGTTATCATAATATGAACGAATTATGAGTAAAATAATACAAACATATAACATGAATTATAGTTACGAATTATTAATTGAAATGCGAAGATGGCCTCGACTTAGCACACAGAATCTTTGTGCTCTAGATTCTTTGATGCACTGATCAGGTAAAACACGTTGGTTCTGCTTCATAGTATTACCTAATGAGGCACGAAGGGTCGTTGTCGTATAATGGCGTATAATATGTACCCGAGGTAACTATCTGATATGGTTAGGGTTAGGGTTAGGGAGTAGGCGTAGGCGACATGCTCGCCGACACCTCGGGTACTACATATTATATACGACAACGACCCCTTCAGCTCTAATGAGTGATGACCACTATAATCCTAGGTTTATCTGCAGGTATCTGGTGGCTGTAGGATTGGAGAGCGGAATCATACAGCTTTTCAAGTGGAACAGTTTACATACAAATCCATGGAGCAAAGTGATTACTTTAGATGAAAAGTATCCTTTTTTTAAATGTTTTAAATTGTGCACTGTAGAGTTAGCACCTGTAACAAAAGGCAATACTTATAATGTTTTTATGTGAATTGGTCTAATGTATTATATTTTAAATATAGTGCTTGTTCTCACTTTGGTTGATATTTTTTACTACCATCGTTACAACTTGGAAATAATCGTAGTCTCAGAAATAAATTTGAAAACCCAGCCAGTACTGATTCCAAATATTTTTAGCTCATCTGACATGGTCAGATGCAGCTTGTAGAATCACATGATCGTCCGTCCGTCCGTCCGTCCGTCCGTCTGTCAACAGTTGGGCACAAATCTTAACCGCTCGACGTACGGTCACGATATTTGGCACATTGGGGGGGGATCGTCAAAACGAGTTGGGATGTCGAAGCTGGGGGTCAAAGGTCAAAGGTCAAGAGGTGTAAAAGAAGGGGGAACATTCACTCCTTAACTTAAGGTATAGGGAGGAAATGCAGAATTGCGGCACAAATCTAAACGGCTCGACCTAGGCTCGTGATAGTTGGTGTATAGCATCATGGTAGGAAAAGCCATCACTGTGCCGAAATTGGAGGTCACAGGTCAAAGTTCAATGGGCACAGGGCAGATTTTAGACATTTTATGAGGACATGGTCTGACGGAGCGATTGAAAAACTTTTTTGTTTCAGCGGTGACCTAGTATTTTTATGGCATTGTTGAAAGGACCATGAAATCTACTTTCTGCTGACATGCGAAGAGTAAGTGTCAGATAACCTTTTGACCCTCAAGAGGAGGGTTAAACATGGATTTGTTGACTGTCTGTTAAAAAGAATTTGACTGCCGGGTTTGCTAGTAGAATCTATACATGCCTGGATGTATGAGGCTACAATGTCACAGTGAAATTTCAAAAGCTAAATTTGGTTAAAGAAGGTTTATGTTCCTTAAATCGTATAATTTCTATGGCATTCTGTACTGTCAGTATGTTACATGTAACGTATGCCACTGCCAGTGGCTACTGCCAGTGCATGTGTTGGTGATAGTACTGTGTAGTTTTTGCCTGCGTTAATTGGTTACAGGTGGCAGCTCTCTATTGCAATTTGCAGCCTGTAGGCTTGCGTAGGTAAATGGATGAGTGCTTACCTATTCTGTCTTGCAAATAGTTGTTGCTACTACGTACGATGAGAGCTTCCATCTTTAATCTGAAGACACTTAAACGTACGCGCCATCTCGTGGCAACTTTCATAACGATCCCAACGAACATTCCTTTGAGAAGGTTCCTGATACCATCCCTGTGCATTCCACTGTTTAGGCGTGTATGTGAACACATTTGGGACTAACAGGGTTTACTAGAATCCCACCACTCCACCACAGAGTCACCGCAGTAGACGTTAGATGAGCGCTGTCGCTCCGCGGCACTTGTTATTTCTACTATATAACCTATGGTAAAATCCATATAAATAGGCCAGTCTTGTTTAAAAGTTACCAGTGCTAAGTTGAGGGACAGGCTGCCATTTCCAACACTGTTGCCATCCCAGTCTATCTATAGTCCCATGTTCCATCACTTTTAGTATCTGTGTTATCTGAAGATTTATGTCACCGTCTGTTTTCTGTTGGATATCGGCATTAGTGTTGACTCGCTAGTCACAATTCCCTCTACTGTGGCTCGTCGGGTCTATGTCGATCTCCCTGGGTACTGCCGGAACGTACCCTGGTAACTTCTAATATGCCAGACCGTACTTCGCCTACTCCACTAACGAGTCTAGGGAGTCGCTTACGCCTACTCCCTAACCCTAACCCTAACCATATCAGATAGTTACCAGCGTACGTTCAGGGTACGTTCCGGCAGTACCCAGGGAGACATAGACCCTATGAGCTCTACTGTGTGGGCTAGGCTATGGCATCACCGGAACTCTAGATGTAATAAACGTACCAGTGATGCTCCTTGAAATTGCTACACCACAGAGACAAAGTTCAGTTTGATTGCAATTTAGTATGTGAACACTTTATTGTCGAGCGTTTATGGCTGAGCTAAGAATGTACGTACTAGCAGAATTGTTGTTGTTGGTGCTAGCTATAACTACTGTAAACTGAGTGTAGATATACCCATCGCATATGCCTTGTATAACACGAATATCCAGGTATTTCCAATAGGCATTATCATGAACATATCTACAAAATATACACACGCACGCATGCACGCACGCATGCACGCGCGTGCGCGCGTGTGTTCATGGTATTACACATTTAGGTGCTTTATAAGTGGGAAACTGCTTGATTCATAAATGCTATAATGATATCTTTGTTGTCCAGAGCAGGGTTTGAAACTAGTATATGAAATATATACAATTATAGGAAGTAAGACTATACTAACTACAGGTAATTAAGCCATTTAACGCTAGTTTATTTTATCAAGCCATTGTCTCATTTTTCGTGCACGAATATGTTTCAGCTCTCTAGCGCCGAATAGAGATTTAAGTTTAAACTGTAAAATCCGAGATGCAGAGTGCAGTCATTACGTGCCCACCTCACAGCCTGGGTAACACCTGCTGAATCTAATGCAGCGGGTTGTCTAATGGCTGGTGGGTGCGTGAGCCCTTAGCGCAGTGGTTCGATTCTTTACCTTTTTTAAGTCATGGACCCCTTTGAGTATCTGGAGAGAGCTACGAACCCCTCTCCAGAAAAATGCACATAAGCACATAACCACAAAATTGCGCCTGGTTCACGGACCCCCCTGAAGCCCATCCACGGATCCCAAAGGGGTCCATGGACCACAGGTTAAGAACCCCTGCCCTAGCGTGATTGCACGATATTGCCGATCGATCGCGAAAGTTCGACCTACAACCTCTGTGATTGCATCTCCATCGCGTCGACGATGACCGTCTCATCGTTGACGTCGACCTTGACGTGGTTGCCGGCGTCGTGCGACGCAGCGCGGCGTCGCGGCGGCGACGGCAGCGTGCCGAATCCGACCTCGTCACTCGCTTCCACGATCGCCTCTCGCAGCGCTTCGTCCTGCGTCACGAGCGACGATATCTCCTGCAGGATCGACTTGGTGCGGCTCCTCTTCCGATCGGGGCCATCCGGCGAGAGCATCTCCTGCAGGAACGATCTGCCGCGGCTCTTCTTGCGGTCCGGCTGCGTGTGGACGGGAACCTCTACCTGCGTGTGGTTGGCGACGTCCGGTTTGGTAACGTCCGGTTCGGTAACGTCCGGTTCGCTGGCGTCCGGTTTGCTGGCGTCTGGTTTGCTGGCGTCTGGTTTGCTGGCGTCTGGTTTGCTGGCGTCTGGTTTGCTGGCGTCTGGTTTGCTGGCGTCTGGTTTGCTGGCATCTGGTTTGCTGGCGTCTGGTTCGCTGGCGTCTGGTTTGCTGGCGTCTGGTTTGCTGGCATGCTCTCCCGCGTCACGGTCGGCTTCTTGGGGCGGCGCGGGGAGCTTCTCGGACGCGCGCTTCTCGCGCAGCTTGCGGCGCACGATCACCGTGTAGCGGATGACGAAGAACACGAGCATCGGGATCGGCGTGACCATGTAGAAGAAGACGGGGATCATGGAGGCGAGGTCGGCCTCGGGTCGTGGGAACGCCGTGCTGAGGATGAGCAGCGGGATGCTGGCGTTGCGGTAGCCGCACTCGATGCCCCACGTCAGCATGACGGGCCACGGCTGCCGACACGCGCGCGCGACCAGCCCACCGAACAGCATGCCGCCGTACGGCACGGCCATGCCCGTCAGCACGAGCGGCCACGTCAGCAGCCAGAATACGTACCAGTAGCGCAGGGCTGCAGTGATGAGCAGCCCCAGCAGCAGCAGCAGTGTCATCGGACGCACGCACTTACCGATGAACTCGGCCACCTGCGGAACGAAGCGAATGATTTTTTTTTTTTTTGATTAATTTATTGATGGTGTAGTTGTGGTTCTGTTTTATGTCTGAGATTCCAAGTTGTATTATATATACACGCTGGTGTAACAAAAGAGTTGGCATGGATTCTCGTTTTAGGTGAGCTGGATTCAGTGGAAGATCGATAGTTGGGTGTTGAAACTGATTGGTGGCATTGTGAACATGGTGGAGACAACCGATCATGGGGGCATTACTACAACAAAGTCTCGTGTGAATGGTGGGGCAGACGTCGGCACAGTTCCCCACGAACCATGCACATCACTATTGTAACCCGATTTTCCTTTGCGAATTTGCGATGCGAGCGTTGTCATGGCGACGCTGATGCATCTCGTTGAGACTCTACTTACCAGATACTCTGGTTAACTATGGTAATAATCGCTAGTCGATCTTTGCTGTGCTGCGTCGTGGTGCGCCAATGTTCGATTATTTACAAGCGGGAA